TGTATATATATATATATATATATATATATAGAACAGATACGTTGTTATGTTACGTGTAGCACTGGTTGGAAGAGAGATGATTTACAGCTGATAAGATATTATGTTAGTGTAGTATTGGTTAAAAGAGAGGTGGCTTACGGCAAATACGGTATTATGTTACGTGTTGAAGATGAGTACGGTAACCTTGTTTCATTGGTTCATTCATTCATTGTGTAAACTCTTCTATGCTATTAACTTCAAAGATACAAGAAATTAAAAAATGTATTGTTTACATATGAATATTAGCGTATCGTTCAATCGAATTTATTTTCATTCTTCTGTTAAGAGGTTTTACAATTTCATTCAACTCTATTATCCAAATCGATGGAAATCTAGTTCTAGAAAAAAAAAGATTGCGTAAATTTTCACAATACAAGTTTGAATAATTTCTTCACTCAGAATATTTTTTAAAACGAATAGTAAACTTTCAGGGAACAAAATTACTGTATTTAATATATGTTATGGTAAATTCTTAACTTTGCTCTCTGAAACTCCTGCGTATAGAAAATTGTTTTTGTTTTTTTTACCGAGTATTTATTTGAATGTAAGCTAGTTGTTTTAGTTCTCAAAAATCAAAGAAAACGCAGTTACAGTTGTTTGTAAGTGATGTAGCTTCTCCTCTCCTTTACGTGCAATACGTTTGTTTTGTTTTAACAGTCGAAATACTTGCATTATTAGACTTTAGTTTTTTCTGTTAATTTGTTGTTTTGTTTTACAGATGAAAGCCAAGACCACCTCAATCTATTCAGCAACCGACAACAACCCAAAAAGAAGAGAAAATCCCGGACAGCTTTCACTAACCAACAAATCTTTGAGCTAGAGAAAAGGTTTTTATATCAGAAATATCTATCTCCTGCTGACAGAGACGAGATTGCGCAGTCGCTGCGCTTAACGAACGCCCAAGTAATCACGTGGTTTCAAAACAGGCGCGCCAAGTTGAAGCGGGACATGGAAGAACTAAAGAAGGATGTTGAGTCTGCTAAAGTTCAAAAAGTTATTCTAAATGACATTCAGGATTTCAGTCTTTTGAAGAAATCTGAGTTGCATGAAAACCAAGCCTAAAAGAGACCAGATTTTGAATAAGTACTGTGGTGATATTCGTGTAAATATATAAATATATATGCAAATATATTTACACACGTGTGGTGTAATAGTCTTTGTACATTAGTTGATGTGGCATTTTTATTTAATTAGCAACTTAAACAAAACAAATATACACAATACCATCTTAAGTAGTTCCTGAAAACGTGCTGTAGAACATTATTTTCTTAAGTTTTTGTACATAACAGCCTTAACTTCGATCGCAACTGATTTGTTTTGTCTGGAGTACATAACAAGGTTATGCTCGTATCCTTGTTTATGACCGTGTATCAAAAAGTTAAATGTACTAAGTAGAAATCGAGGAACTAAAGTTTGGATCCTGTCTTGGTATCGTTCCGATAACGAACTGTTGTTGTACTTATGTACTAAAACCTGTTGCCATATCGATTATAAAGTCATGAAATGCAGAGGAGAATAGTAGAAGTGTAAATATTTTTTTTTCTAAGAAAAGAATACTAATTTAAATATTGGAATATTTTATTACATTCGTTAAAAAAGTATTATTGTGGAAACTGCTTATAAACGTACAGTGCCTGATGATGATATTATTAAGCAGAGAATTACCTAGACATTGATCTAAGTGATGGAAATACTCTCTTGCAAATGAATTTCCAAAACAGGTTTTCATAAAAGAAATTTTCTAAGGGATACTAATAAAAATGGATTCATTTTGGTTATTCCCCATCATCACCCATCATCGTGATCATGTATACAATTACAGATAGAGTGATATGGTGTTGTTGTTTTTTCTCTCAGGTGAAGGTCTGAGCACCGTGCTGGTTATGGCTGAATACTTCATCTGTCTCAGTTGTTAATGAAATTGTTTTTGTTAATCTCTCCAAAACAATACAAAACCAAGTCACTTACAGTTTATATATATCCTGATCTCAATGCATTACTTAAAGTCTGAAAATGAGGGGAAAGTGTGTTGTGTTAAACTGAATTTTTGAAGTTAAAAATCAATAATTCGAACACAAGTGATATCATTAACGTTTTAATTAAAGTTACAGAGCGGTTGTTTTGTAACTTAGTTTTCATTTTTTTGGGAAATGTGTAATACATTTGTTGCCGAATGTACATAGCATATTCTTAGTCTATAACTCACAAGTGTCAATCAACTCAAGGGAATAAAAATCAGTACTTTACAAAATTACAGGCTTGAAATTATTGGTTTTGTACCTGACAATTTAGATGGTCAACTATACTAACACTAGCTGATGTCCGCATTAATAACTTATTTCTCACCTCCAAAAAATAAATGGTTACAATAAACAGAGCCGCGATGTTTTTTTAAAATATATAAAAGCTGCTTAATCCTAAACTTCTAGCAGAACGCGATATACGATCAAACAATCGATGGGGCTTTTAAACAGAGTTACAGTTATAATAATAAACTGATGATCAATATATATATATAATGTGAAAAATTAAGTAAATTAGTTGTTACATGTTAATAGTTTGTTTAACAGGATCACGTGTTACACATGTGTGATTTGGATGGCTAACAGAAATGCTTGTTAAACTAGTGTGATGTGGCTGATTAACAGAAATAGCTATTAAGTATGTGTGATAAGACTGATTATATAATTATCAAATTATTTGTTACAGACTGCGACCTCGTTAATATAAAAGTATGGAGAAAATTGGTTTGTTAAATCATACGTCACAAAAATGTGATTTGGTTGGTTAAAGGAACCAGCCATTAGACAAGAGTGAGTTTTGTGGTTGACAGAAACTTATGTTAGGCTGTGATAAGACTGACCAGCAAAATCAACTGTTATAAACGTGTCATAAAACTGACTAGGAGAATCAACTGCAAGAAACGTGCTATAAGACTGATTAGGAAAATTAACTTTTATAAACATGTAGTAAGACTGACTAGCAGAATCAACTGTTATAAACGTGTGATAATACTGACTAGCAGAATCATCTGTTACGAACGTGTAATAATACTGACTAATAAAATCAACTGTTGTAAACGTGTTATAATACTGACCAGCAGAATCAACTGTTATACACGTGCTATAAGACTGACTAGCAGAATCAACTGTTGTAAACGAGTTATACTGACTAGCAGAATCAACTGTTATACAAATGCTATAAGACTGACTAGCAGAATCAACTGTTGTAAACGTGATATAAGACTGACTAGCAGAATCAACTGCTATAAATGTGTGATAATACTGACTAGCAGAATCAACTGTTATAAACGTGCTATAAGACTGACTAGCAGAATCAAGTGTTGTAAACGTGTTATAAGACTGACTAGCAGAATCAGCTATTGTAAACGTGTTATAAGATTGACTAGCAAAATCAACTGTTATACACGTGCTATAAGACTAACTAGCAGAATCAACTATTGTAAACGTGTTATAATACTGACTAGCTGAATCAACTTTTTTATGTTTCGTAATATGTGAATCGATTATAAAAAACAAGAAAATCTGCATCTTCTTGCTGACAGCAATTACATTCAGATAGTTTAGAACTTTTTTATAAATAACCCGCTGAACAGCTTCAACAAAAAAATCTTCAATTCGCACACAACTGGTTTTGAAAATTCGAAATCCTGTTGAAATAGAAAAAAAAACACAAATTTATAAAATATCTCTTTGTAATTATTTTAAATTTCGACTATACTAGCTACATGTTATAATGATGCGTAAAGCGTCCTTGATTAGATACATTAACTTTGCCATAAGTACGTCTTTTGTACACAGTTTCGTGTATCATATTTTCCTATTTCATTTCAAGGTTTGAACTTCTAGAAAGATCAACTTGGATTGAAACAAAAACAAAGTTTGTTTGTTTGTAGTTATGCACGAAGCTACACAATGGGCTATCTGTACTCTGCCCACCACAAGTATCGAAACTCGGTTTCTAGCAGTGTAAGTCCGCAGACATACAGTTGTGCCAGTGGAAGGCCGAAAATAAAGAGCACTTAAACCTAAATCGTATAAATGTAGGCATTTTTTAAGTGTTTAACACACACCTTTAAGACTGATTTTTTGGCTTACATTCATAAGTTAGAGCACAAACGGCTAAACGGTTTGATAAGCAAATGTCCTAGAAAACTGCATAAATATTCAGGATTCAAACTTGAGATTTGAGTTATCACATTTCTATCCTAACCACAAGTATTACAACTTGAGGGATAATTTATCGGGTTTCACACCTAGCCACTCACGAACAATCTTGGGGGATGAGTTATCAGGTTTCAAACCTAACCACGAGTGTTCCAACTTGAGGGGTAATTTATCAGGTTTCACATCTAGCCACTCACGAATAATCTTGGGGGATGAGTTATCAGGTTTCAAACCTAACCACATGTGTTCCAAGTTGAGGGGTCATTTATCAGGTTTTACATCTAACCACTCGTGTACGAGCTTCAAGCAGTTTAACATAGTTCAACCCTAGTCACACATGTGTCTGATCGAGAAGTGAATTAACAACAAAGTCACGTTCCATTTTTTGTTTTTAAGGGTAGTGATAAGTCTCAAACACAGCCGTTATAACCTCATGATTACACTTCTCGATAAACATCGTGTTCTCCGAAGATGGTTTAAATCCATCACGCTAAGTGGTTATATTGCTTACTTCTTAGGGCTACGCACACATGCTTATAACTTAACGAAATGCTGGAAATTGTGGTGGAGACTGTTCTTTTCGTCATGTTTCAGTGGCGACTCTCCCTAGTCGGGCTTACAATGACACAACAGAGGGCGTATTTACTTAATTAATTCACGTTAGTATTCTATGCACCTACTTTCCAGTATATTAAATATCGCTCTCTGTAATGTTAGTTTAAGCCCCACCAGGGCATCATCAAAACTATTATAACTTGTTCAACCCGTACGTGAATAATGAATTTAACAGTCGTTGCCGAAACGCATGTTCCCTGTTTTAAAATGTTGTGGTTTTAGTCTAGTTTTTTGTGTGTGTTTTTTAATCAACGTATCTACAGTTTTAAATAAATCATGCTACCTGGTCTTATTTGAAAATTATACAGTGAAGCGCGGAAGTTGACTTCACAGCCACTGTCTGGCATGGTGTACACATGTACATAGACATAGTCAGAGTTGGAGGATAACTGTTGGGTTTTAGCCCCTCCAAAATTCTAGTTTGAGTTTCTCTTCAACAGCAGTCATTAAGTCATTTGTTCACCAGCCCCTCCTCTTCCTCGATAATTTTTCTTTGGCTATAGAACTGTGTGTGCGTGTATATAAATCTTGCTAAAGCAGACTAAAAAAAAACATCGTGGGATGACCCTCAGCAGAACATGTGATACCTGTTTATTGTTTAAACTAACAGTGTTTGAATAAGTAGTTCTGTATAATCCAAGCACAACAAAACTTTACCATAGTTCCATTACTCCTGTATTAATCCGAGCATGTCAAAGATTTACCATAGTTTCATTATTCCTGTATTAATCCGAACATAACAAAGATTTACCAGTTTCATTACTCCTGCATTAATCCGAGCATAACAAAGATTTACCAGTTCTATTATTCCTGTATTAATCCGAGCATGACAAAGATTTATCGTAGTTTCGTTATTACTGTATTAATCCGAACACAACAAAGATTTACCATAGTTCCATTACTCCTGCATTAATCCGAGCATAACAAAGATTTACCAGTTCCATTACTCCTGTATTAATCCGAGCATAACAAAGATTTACCGTAGTTTCATTATTCCTGTATTAATCAGATAATAACAAAGATTTACCATATTTCCATTACTCCTGCATTAATCCGAACATAACAAAGATTTACCAGTTCCATTACTCCTGCATTAATCCGAGCATGACAAAGATTTACCGTAGTTTCATTATTCCTGTATTAATCATATAATAACAAAGATTTACCATAGTTCCATTACTCCTGTATAAATCCGAGCATGACAAAGATTTATCGTACTTTCATTATTCCTGTATTAATCCGAACATAATAAAGATTTACCAGTTCCATTACTCCTGCATTAATCCGAGCATGACAAAGATTTACCGTAGCTTCATTATTCCTGTATTAATCAGATAATAACAAAGATTTACCATAGTTCCATTACTCCTGCATTAATCCGAGCATAACAAAGATTTACCAGTTCCATTATTCCTGTATAAATCCGAGCATGACAAAGATTTATCGTAGTTTCATTATTCCTGTATTAATCCGAACATAACAAAGATTTACCAGTTCCATTACTCCTGCATTAATCCGAGCATGACAAAGATTTACCGTAGTTTCATTATTCCTGTATTAATCATATAATAACAAAGATTTACCAGTTCCATTATTCCTGTATTAATTCGAGTATGACAAAGATTTATCGTAGTTTCATTATTCCTGTATTAATCCGAACATAACAAAGATTTACCATAGTTCCATTGCCCCCTGTATTAATCCGAGCATAACAAAAATTTACCAGTTCCATTACACCTGTATTAATCCGAGCATAACAAAGATTTATCGTACT